ACCAGCCGTGTCCATCCGGGCCTTATGGGGGTACTGAACAGCGCAAGAATAGTACGGCTGCCGTCCCGGTTCTCCGACTGGATCCTGTTTGGCGGGAGGACCAGTCCACCACAATAAGAACACCACCACCACCACAACCACCCGGGCGGGGATTAAGAAGGCGGAGGGGTGACAGCAGCAGCTGCTGCGACCAGCAAACCTCCACACATACATACACTGCTGTACACTGGGAACTGACCCCGCCGCCGCACCGAAACACAACTGTCCCGCTCCCCCGCCACCCACCTGACCAGGCCGGGGGGGGTGAAGTCGGTGTATGCCTCCCGAACGGTCTCAGACTTCGAATTGGGCAAATGTACCTGGAGGCGGCGCAGGCGCCCCAGGGGGACCACGGATAGTGGCTGTGAGCAAACTTGGACGGCACCCGGTCAGTCAGAGCGGGAATAGCCCGGGTCGTGGATGGGGAGGGGAGATTGGCGGGAAGGTCCGCTTGCGGCGGGAGGGGGGGGATATGTAATGAAGGCCGTACCCAACAAGTCAGCAGCTAGCAGCACCCGAAAGGAAGATCCAGGCTTTGGAACCCGATCTGCTTTGGAGTCCCACTTAATAATGGAACCTCGCATGGTCTCGTAGTCCTGAAGCATCCATCTCCATCTAATCCCACGCAAGGTGTCAATATACCCAAATGGTACAGCACCACGGCATCCACCCGCACGTCGGCCGGGGAGGAGGTTCACATCATGCAGGCGAACCGGTCAGACAGGGCCCCGCAGGGTCATCAGGTCAGGGAGTAGGTCCTAGCAGGCTGGCCTCTATTCACCCCGGCACCAAGTCAAGTCAAGCCAAGCCAAGTCAGAGGGGTGCAAACAGAATCGACACGCCCCCCACCAAAAAGTCCCCCCCCACCACCAGCAGCAGGGCCGCTCCGGACACAACAACGAATACAGCCGAGTACAGCCAAGACTACACCGCCTCGCAAAACCAACCAGCAACAAATACCAGGTATTGGATTAGAGGTCAAAGCGCCGCAGCAAACTCGTTGCTATGCACTACTGCCGCCACCTCCCGGCACAGAGAAGCCATTGTCCAAAGCCGTATATTGTACGGCGGTGAGTACATTCATTCCGCCGTCGTACCTTGAAGCCCTCCTCCAGGGAAGGCGGCAGGGTGACCTCCAGCTGGAAGGGCCGGGGGTCCTTGTAGCGGTCGCCTGGGGCCCGGGGCGCATCGTACAGGGTGACGTGTCGGGCAATGTGATACACCAACACAACCCCGGGTTGAAGCTCAGTTCCAAGAAGGGGCCCCCTAGGGCCCCCGTTGAAGCCCCGAGGAGGTGGGGTGACGCACCGCCTGCCCCCCAGAGACGGCAGACCCCCCCACACACACACACTGCCCCTCCCTCTCTTTCCCCCCCCCCTCCCTCCCTCCCTCC